TCGTGCGAGCCTGGTATTCGGAAGTTGAGATTAGAATGCACGTGGTCATCCGTCCGGAATCTTGTTTCGCAGCTTCGGTTTCTATCGCGACATTGCTACGTTAAGTTTTGTTGTATGTATGAGTTGTTCTTGTATGCCATTATTTTGTTTATTAATCTCTAGTTGGGTCTAGGGGTCTTGTTGCATGGACAATTGTATACATACACTCGCCGCGGAAAGTATGTTGACACGTTTCAAAATCTTTTATTTTGAACTTTCCCCGGTTGTAAACAAAACACGTAAGGTTTCTATTCCTCATAATGCTTTGCCAGTGTTTCGTGAGATGGTACAAACAGTTGATATTCGACCTTAACTTGGAATACAAGTATTTATTATTAAAACGTTCTTTAGTGCTGTGCGGAAAGTAAGTTGACAGATATTTTCGGTTGTATTTTACTCTAATTTGTTCAAAGTTTAGTTCTTAAATTACATTTCTCGTATCCTTCAACATTAATTGTAGTGTTTTAAAGTTACATTTTATCATTTTCAAGGTAATATTATTTTAAAATGCCAAAAATTCGTGAACTCACACCATTTGAGAAATCACAAATATTTAATAGGCGTATGAAAGGAGATTCGCTTCGAAAAATCGCATCAGACTTTTGTATCTCTGCAGAAGGTGTCAGACAAATAGTAAATCGTCTGGAAAAGAATGGTACTGCAGAAAATCTTCCAAAATCGGGACGTCCGAGAAAGACCACGATCAAACGGGATCGCAGAATAAGAAGAGAGGTGCTTAAGAATCGTTTCATATCCGCGAGACAATTAAAATCTGAAATGTATCTCCCTATATAAGAGACACAAGTTCGTATGCGAATAAAAGAAGCAGAATTTCATGGCCGCGTAGCGAGGAAACGACCGTTTATTAGTAAGCGTAATGCTAAAAAACGTTCAGCATTTGCTAAACAATATGTGAATAAAACGATAGACTTTTGGAAAAATGTCATATTCAGTGACGAGTCAAAATTTGAACTTCGTTCAAATAAGAGAAGAAAATTTGTATGGAGAAAAGTAGGTGAAAGTTTTAAACCCTCAATAAGTATTCCAACCGTTAAGCATGGAGGTGGGTCGGTATTAGTATGGGGCTGTTTTTCACTGGCTGGTGTAGACAATTTCCATTTTATAGAAGGTACACTAACAGGAGAGGGATATGTGAACATTTTGCAGCAAAATTTAGTAGAATCAGCTGAAAACATGAACATCAAAGACTCATTTATTCTACAACAGGATAACGATCCTAAACATACAAGTAAAGTTGCAAAGAAATATTTTAATGAAAATAATATTAATTTACTGTCATGGCCAGCGCAAAGTGCAAATCTTAACCCGATCGAACATTTATGGGATCATTTGGACAGAAACGTAGACGAACACTGCAGAAATAATAAAATCTTGTTCCAGAGGGCATTATCAAAAGCGTGGTTTGAAATAGACCAACATACAATTGATAAATTAATAAAAAGTATGCCAAGAAGACTTCAGGAAGTCATAAACAATCGAGGATATCGAACTTCATATTAAGTCCATACTTTCAGTTATTTCAAATTTTATTTTTTTACAAAATTACTTATTGTCAACATACTTTCCGCGGATGGCTAATACAAATGTAATATTGTTTTGTAGCTAATAAAAATCATATCTGATTTATCATACAATGTATATTTTGTTACATACTATTAATCAATATTTGTTAATTGTTTACTTCCCGCAACTTGAGATTTTTATTTAGCAGCGAAAAAATACTCTTTTGAAACTTGTCAACATACTTTCCGCGGCGAGTGTATATCGTTAATATATCGTATTTTGTCGTTGTTTCTGCACCGTCTTTTGATGTGGCTATTCATATCCGCTTTCAATTGTTAAAGGCAACGCTAATCGGTTCGTTGACTTTTTCATTTTATTGCTTCTACCTGTGAAGTTGATGAGTTCTGGCTATTAGTAATCCTTATGGAGACATTTGTGAGATAAATGACAGAGTCGAAAAAAAATACATAATATTTTTCTGCCCCTCCTATCGAACACATTTGATCTAGTTCTAACCATTAGGCTAAATGCTATTCTGTGATATTGGGAATTACGGTACTCGAGCGAGGGTACTTCACACAGTATAAACACTTGCTCGAGTATCGACGCTATTGCTGATCCCATCTGCCTAAACGTAGACATAACTCATCGTTTCTAGTTACTCGCGCCAACGCAAATCGTCCAGTTCATTTCGTTGAAACCAAAACAGTTTGATATTGAAGGAATGGGTTCCACGTAACGTTGTTCCGAAACTTGATACGTATACTATTATCTTATTATTATTCATCTTTGGTTTCCGTCAGCATTCGGTTATCATTTCTTTTAGAAACCAGGTTTACCATGAACGAAACGCGATCTCGCAATAGAAACAAAAGCTTAAAAATTAACTGCAAGGTTGTCAAAATTAATACAGGCTTTTGATCGAGACACGTGGCGAATGTATCAATGAAAAAAAGATTTAAATATTTGTTTGGTAAATGTTTAATGTAATAACAGCGTATTAATAAATTTCTTTGCCATTTTTCAATCTGAGGCTTCGATATCGATGTACAATACATACAGTATAATCGAGATATGTATATTTATAGCAAGTTTACTCGCGTGCTATTTATCTCTGAGTTAACTGACCGTACAGTACATACGCTTACGCATGAGACACGTGCACAAATTCACAGGCATGTAAACGTCAGGCACTTCTATTTCGTAAAATGACCAAATCAAAACACCGTATCGTGTGAACAGGCTGTAGCACTGGTCATCGAACCAACTATTTTATAAGTTGTAACTTGTAACGAAAGTATTAATAGCTTTGCTGATTCAACGATCTAGTATGGGGGTTCCATTTTGCGACTGTTTTCATTTTCGTTACTTAACGACATCAATTTTTATTCAACATTTAAGTTAACCGCCTTCATTGTTCCCAACTACGCGTGAATTTCGTACCCAACACATCACTCGGAAAGGACCCTAAAAATAGTCCATGACTTCTCTATACTATCTTGTTTGAATTGTCGTAAGGGAAGAGGTGGCTGTACAACAATATGTAGCCACGCTTGGTGTTTTTCATAATTCCTTCAACGATATGATAGCCTGATGGCAAATCCGCGACTCGCGCAATCCTTGCGACGATATTACGCGTCGTTCCACGAACTTGATCGCGGTTCTTGTCGCCGAGAATGCACGGAAAAAGACCGGACTTCGGCCGCGATTATGTTTCGATACACGCGTACTTACGTATCGTTGACACTCGCCAAGACTCCTCACCTGCCCATCAAAAGACGTAAAGTCATCCACATTGGCCAATCGAGGAGTCGGGTTACATGTAACAAAGGAGGTTGAGCGACTGATTAAATGGCGCCCGAGTAGCTGGGCAGTATCGATGCACGGTACAACTCGAGCTACTTGTGCTTTCATGCGAGCTTGGTAGTTACTTGGCGAAATGTGGACGCCTTTCGGGAACTGTTTTTCTTGGCACCCAGAAGTGTACCCCGGGTGCGTCCAATTACCTGTAAGGGCATATCGAGAGACGAAGGAAACGCCAACGGTATGCACTTCATCAGTGACGACTGGAATCTTAGAATTGAACGCTGTTGGAGGGAACTGTTTTATCCACACGGCTGTCGGTAAGCTGATTTCTGCAACTGAGGAACTCTGAATTATGGATTCAATTATGTATGGCAATTTTGTATGAAGTAATAATCCATGAAAACGACGTATAATAATTTTAAACAATAATGAGCGACTGCTAAAGCCTGTCTAAAAGCGTTCTGGATAACACATGTCAAGATCAAGGTCATCACAGTTGTCTCCCCTAGTCAATGATTACCTAATGATACTTCAACGAATGAAGAAATCGCTTGATCGGTTAAAATTCACATAATAGATCTTTTTCGGTCAATGGAGGTTTTCAACCCCCTGTAGTGAGGGATTCCATCTTGTATCTGCTGCTGGCTCCCAGTAGAATAGAGTTTAGATTTTAAACACACGCCAGATAGAGTCAGTGAGTGCCTGTTCAGCGTTGTAGCGCTCAGAGGTATCCAGGCTATTGAGCCTATAATCTCCTTGATCCAAAGATCACAGAAGAGAATCGACACTCTGGCGTACCACTACCAGAGAGTACTGTGCTTGGAATAACTAGATCTTTCATCGTTATACGAGTCATAAAGGAACTGTTGTGGGAGATCCGCCAGACTCTACTTAGTATAAAGAAATTTTCTCTTGGGTCATTCTCACTGCTGGAGTGTAATACAACTACACCAGGGACGTGAACAAGCTAGAGGCAGTGTTTTCATCGCGAAGAAAGATTACGTCTTGCCAGTTTCTTTTGTCGTTTTTTCATTTGAGATCTCATGTGGCATAATCATTGAATTTAGTATGCGTCAAAAGGAACATCGAATGTTCGATATCAGGATATAGCTATATACTCGGGGTTGCCTAGAATTCATTTCGAGATATAATTTTTAGTGCTTCCGCGATAATTCTTTCAATATTTAGTATTAATTCCAAACGCTACGAGTGCTGAAATCGAATTCCAACTGGAACCGATAACATTGGAAGCGACGCAAAAACGGCAACGAGGAAAATAGAATCTAGAATTTGAAATTCCAAAATCATGATAGAAACTTACGAAATGTCACCGACGCGTCTATTTTGTCTCAAGTGACATTATTGATACTCGAACTGTTTCTTTAAATACTCTCTCCTTCAAACTCTCTTAACTAACCATCTCTATTTTAAAAAAATTGTATTTTTATAATCTTTTATACTGAGTATGGTAACAAAAATTATTAATAGTATGAGAATATTATTTTTATCCTTGCAAATTTTATAAAATAGTAATGTGTTATATAGGATGAGGTATACAATGTTTTAAAAAAAGATAAAAGAAACGATATTAAAAACAGTAAAAAGTTACGGCTAAGACCGCTGCCCTTGCATTAATCTTCATCGTCACTAATAATTACACGAGACGACCTCTGTTGATTACGTTCTTTTTGCGTCGGTTCTTCCTCGTCGTCGCTAATTATCGTCGTAGCGTGTTTCAGCTCGGTATCCTGAGACGTTAATGGGTCCTCTTCTTCATCGCTATCCAACAGACGACGTTTTTTCATCGTTCCATTTTCCTTTTCTGAACTGTCCGATCGATTTCTTTTCCCTTCATCTAATACAAATATTATTTCCTTTATAATTTTTCCCACTTTCTTCTCCATCTTTTTTATTTACCTTGAATTTTAGAGTCGATGATTTCTAATTCCAATTCGGAATCAGACGAGTCGGAAAGGAATTTTATACGACCGCTAGATTTGCTCTTTTCAATCGTTGTGGTTCCTGAAATTGTTAATAATGAAAATTGTTTTTTACGAGTTTGATGGTACATTTGTAGCCCTCGGAGGGTTTAAACAGTCTCCTCATAGAGGGCACGAAGCTTCCTTCCAGGGGCGTACTGCATAATACATACCGACTGCCTGCAAGCTCGATACTTTTCCTTTCTTTATTTCGATATTGATGTGTTCTGGAGATTTCAAAGGAAGCTTGGAACTCGTTCTTTTTCCTTTGGAGCTGACACTTGCTATAGGATCAGAAGCGCGAGAAGTTGATGGCATTGGTTCTGCTGAAAAATGTATAAAACTTGACCCTAATATACTTCTAAACAAATTGGTAGTAATCTTGCTCACTTATATTAAAAAACAAAAGAAGTATACATTTTGTAAGCCTTTTGCATATTAATTGATTTTAACTTGCATTTCTTATCTTCAGATGTCAAGAAAATTTATTACTATACATATACGCATGAAAGGGTATAGCCGAATAAGGGGGTCAAATGTGCCCTTGAACGAAATGTGACATACGATAGATCCATCGATAGAGCATCAAGAAAAAACGTTCTGTGCCAAATTTTAACCCTCTATCTTGTTTAGAAGGGTAGTTATTGAGAAAATTCGGATTAACGAATTTCTGCCTATTTCCCCTATTTAATCGAGTAGAAAAATTATGAAAAAAATCTGGTGCATTGCGACTATTGAGATACGTGTTTGAGAATTTTTTCCGATTTTTCGATTTCAAATCCTAGGTGTGAAAAATTAAAAACGCAAAAAAACGCAGAAAAATACCGATTTCGTATTGAAGCTTTCGAGACACTAGATTTATATAATTACTGTAAATGCATATTGTCATTGGTTATGTCCCTGAATTTTTTCAGATTTTTTGGCAGGGTGCGCCGTAGTAGCAAAAATGAAAAACCGATTTTTTCGGCGTTTTTCGCGTGAAAAAGCAACTTATACTTTGAATTTTTGTATTCCCTTTAATAGATAACTATATTCTGTGGTTTTAAACATTTCCATGTTGAGTAAAACAGTGTATACAAGAAGAAAAGCAAAAATAAGTCAAGAAAAAAAACGTGCTATGCGCGTTGTATTCAGAAGTATCAGCATTATTTCCAAGAGCTGCGATGGTGCAGTGAGTAAGATGCTTGGCTGCAAAACTGCTGCAAACTTTTTGACGCGCGTTCACGCCCTGCTACGGTACATTTTTTTTTATTATATTAATTTTTTTTTTTTCAATTTCTAACTAAACGACAATGAAAAACTATTAGTTTATTAATATTTAAAAAATATTTTTACCTAAAATATACGCAAAAACAATTATGGAGCAGTTTCTATTCCATCATTTCTCTAGTCGTATATTTGCTTAAATACCCTACTGTTTCATTTTTTCTACGTTAAATGAATGTACGTACTTAGTTTTAAAATCGCATACCTTTAATAACTTTGAATAGTGGAAGAAGATTTCTTCAATAAAAAGAACATTAGCAGTCTTTGCATATAGTTACGGATATCATGATGACAAGATTTATGATATGCAAGGTTTATGAATGTTTACGTCTATTGGCAGTCTAAATTACTTATTTTAGACGAGAAATTGTTCTCTTATTATCCATTTCCGTTACACATGTCCACATTTCAACAAAGGCGAATATATGTACCGTCAAAAATAAGTGCTAGCTGGTCTGTTATATTATACAACTGTTTAGCAATAATGGACGTTTCATTTTCTATTAAATGTTGACGAGAAAAAGCCGCGACTCCGAAATGATATGGTAAAATATCTTTTTCAAACGAGTTCCTAACTGCTTTACAAAAATCGGATACCTGTTGTTCGCGCTCTAACCCAAAAATTGAAGCTATCATACTATTCGAATTTCCAGTACGCAATTTAAATAAAAAGACAACAATAGCCTGTGTCACAGCTCGTTTTTCCGTATTTCTCATGGACTTCATCATTTCTCTAAGTTGAATTAGATTTTCCCAAGTTAATCCCGTGAATATTTTAAGACGTTCTTCTGATAATATAAAATCACCTATTTTATTTTTAATACTAGAATCACTACTAACTGCAAGGTATTCGAGTAAGAGAAATAAGTAATTTAGACTGCCAATAGACGTAAACATTCATAAACCTTGCACATCATAAATCTTGTCATCATAAATCTTGTCATCATGATATCCGTAACTATATGCAAAGACTGCTAATGTTCTTTTTATTGAAGAAATCTTCTTCCACTATTCAAAGTTATTAAAGGTATGCGATTTTAAAACTAAGTACGTATATTCATTTAACGTAGAAAAAATGAAACAGTAGGGTATTTAAGCAAATATACGACTAGAGAAATGATGGAATAGAAACTGCTCCACAATTGTTTTTGCGTATATTTTAGGTAAAAATATTTTTTAAATATTAATAAACTAATAGTTATTCATTGTCGTTTAGTTAGAAATTGAAAATAAAGAATTAATATAATAAAAAAAAATGTACCGTAGCAGGGCGTGAACGCGCGTCAAAAAGTTTGCAGCAGTTTCGCAGCCAATCATCTTACTCACTGCACCATCGCAGCTCTTGGAAATAATGCTGATACTTCTGAATACAACGCGCATAGCACGTTTTTTTTCTTGACTTATTTTTGCTTTTCTTCTTGTATACACTGTTTTACTCAACATGGAAATGTTTAAAACCACAGAATATAGTTATCTATTAAAGGGAATACAAAAATTCAAAGTATAAGTTGCTTTTTCACGCGAAAAACGCCGAAAAAATCGGTTTTTCATTTTTGCTACTACGGCGCACCCTGCCAAAAAATCTGAAAAAATTCAGGGACATAACCAATGACAATATGCATTTACAGTAATTATATAAATCTAGTGTCTCGAAAGCTTCAATACGAAATCGGTATTTTTCTGCGTTTTTTTGCGTTTTTAATTTTTCACACCTAGGATTTGAAATCGAAAAATCGGAAAAAATTCTCAAACACGTATCTCAATAGTCGCAATGCACCAGATTTTTTTCATAATTTTTCTACTCGATTAAATAGGGGAAATAGGCAGAAATTCGTTAATCCGAATTTTCTCAATAACTACCCTTCCAAACAAGATAGAGGGTTAAAATTTGGCACAGAACGTTTTTTCTTGATGCTCTATCGATGGATCTATCGTATGTCACATTTCGTTCAAGGGCACATTTAACCCCCTTATTCGGCTATACCCTTTCAGGGAACCATTTCTGGTCACTCATAATATTTTCGGTTAAGAATTTTTTTCTCATAAGTGCGTAGGATTTCGAGTGTATGTGTATTTATCAAAAATTATTGTAATTGCCCTCTGCAACCAAAAATAATTTTTCCAGAACGATTTGAAATTATTTTTTTCGACGAAAAATTTAGGCATCTACCCCCTGTCGATTTTTCTTAAAAATTCGTTTTTCATTTTTAGTAATTTTGTTTGACGCCCTACAGAAAGGTTGTCTAATACTTTTTGGAGGTGCCTATGAACTCTACTTCAGGAAAAAGTTTTATTGAAATATATTTAGTATTGTAGGAGTTATGGTCGTTTGAATATTGGACCATTTTTATAGGGGTTTTCTCACTGTACGCGGTTAAGGAACAATTTTTCGAATATTCTTGGAATTTCTATATATTCTACACCAAAATACGCGTCGATTGCATTTTGAAACATTAACATCCTTCAATCCGTTTAGGAGTTATGATATTTTATATTATAAACACAAAATGTTTCAAGTGATAACACATTGTAAATGAATTGGAGCAAATTATGTGTAACATAACATTATCTTTAAAGAAGTGTTTCATTCATTCTGAAGTTAAAAGTGGGCTTACAAAAACTGCTTACCTTTTGACGCGAAGTATTTCTTGATGTTTTCTAGGACATCAATATCGTCATCGCTATCATCAGTTTTATCGAGATCAGATTCCAGTTTTTCCGAGGGTGCTTTTGGCTCTAATTACATAAAATACAAAATATGAAAATAATTAAAATTGTGAAGTTCTCCAATTTTCGGATTATTTAAATATATTTGAATTATCATACAAGAGAACATATGTCTCACATAAAAATCTATATAATTAAAAATTACTAATACAACAAAAAATAACTATAAAACATATTCTTCTAAACGATTGCTTCGTTTACATTAAATACACTATTATAAAGTAGCGTTCCATTAATGAATAGAATAGGAAAGTACACAAAAATCGTTGGGTATGGGCGAAATTAGCTGAACTGATTGTGACTCTGCTGAAACAAAATATCAAAATTGACATGGACCGCAAAGGGTTAATAAACGGAACAGTTAGGTATTTCTTGATGTATAGGTGTGCTGTAAAACACTACTCAAACAATAATGGTGCCGTGAATAGAGAAAGTTTGGAAACCACTGAATTAGTTCAACAAATCACGAAGCTGTGATCCCCAAGTGCCAATGGACTGTACGAAGTTGGTCGATTCGATGTCACATAGATGCCAGATTATTGTTAAAGCAGAGTTTATCGACATACGTAATACTACAAATAACATGGGTCTTCTATGCTTTTAAATATTCTGACCGGTTAGCTATATTTCTGAATTTTAATATATATTAGTTATATTAAGTTTTATATTAACTTCTGTTAGGAAATATATGCATGCCAGTGAATTCGTTAAAGGGCACGCGTGAATTGGTTGATCGAATAAGGTTTATATAAATCTGGGATTGTCATTGAGTAGAGTACGTAAAGAAGAAGAAATAATACCTTCAATAATGAAATTCCCTGCCAATGTAGCTTCAATAAGATTGCAGTGCTTCTGAATGGTCGAGGTAAGCATATTAGCCGGTATACGCCAATAAGATTCCTGTTCATCAACCGGAGATGCGAATCCCATAGCTCGAAGAAGCTTTTGAAAGCTGGGTGAATCCATCGCGGCCGACGAATAATCTGTCAGCGGGACTAAGGGAATACCTTCGGAGCTTTCCTCGTCTCGATCGTCCAGGGCATCCTGCAGGGATTCCTTAATCCATTCCAGAGCCTCCTTCATATCTGATTTATTAAAAAAAATTGTCGTTGAATTTTCATATAAATGTTCTCTCGTCAAGTTCACGGACATTAGCCTCAAATAATGACGAACATATTGGAAAAAAGAATCCGGCCTAAAAAAGATTATTCGTAAGCAATAATCGATAATTTCGTGTTTTTTTTTGTACAATGCATCTAATTTTAATATTATCCCTTTCATTATTCAACTACTACCAAAAATTATATTTCTTTGCATTCTTGCGTTAGATGACAAATAATCGATTATGACAAAATTTACACGTTTCGAAAATGTACAAGGACTTTTATTGCAAATTTATACGATAATTTCGTACCTTTACACGCGATGCCTGACTGAATAAATTTGACTTTTAAATATTGAAAACAATTCCAGCTTCTGATACACAAATTCAGTATTACTCAATTTCCGAATAAGTCGAGCAACGATTGTCTGATTAAAAATTGAAATGTTAATTGAAACTATCGACGTCTCTGTGCTTTCTGGTTAGTTCGAACAAACTTGTCGTTTTAAGGTCAGAGAAATAAATGCTTCGATGGTAGAATAAAGCTAAAATTTGCATGTCTCGAACGGAAACTTGTAAATGGCTGTTGCTCGGAGAAGTTACTGAAAGTTACGACCCCTCTTGCGTGAAACCATAGTCTGATAGGTGACAAGCACGTTGGCTCGACACAATAGGGTGGCAAGATCGTTTTTTAACGATGTCTTTTCCAAAATCCACAGGGATAAACCGATGCTTCCCAACGTGGCCCACATTTGTACCGCAGGCAGGAGTCTGACAAGTCATTACTTTATCCACTCGTTTCTTTCTCAAACGATCGTTCTAGCCCCTTCGCCCTCAACAGCCCTCTCTGCTCTCAAAAGACATTTGTCCTCCAGAGGCGCAAAAGAGGAGAGCACAATATTCGAAGTCGCCGGCGAGAATTTTATTCTCATAAATCACTGAAACTACCCCTTGCAAAGCTGACAAAAGAAGGGGCGACACGATGTTACTTACTTTTTTCGATGACATCCCTCAAGAGTCCAGATAATTGTGCATCCGTGTAGACTATCGTTGGCTGTTTCTTCGTGCTTTTCTTCGTTCCCCTGCTCGTTGGTTTATTGGGAGCCTTGCTGTTGCGTCTCGAGGATTTTCCAGCTTCTTCGTCGCTGCTTTCATTCTCGTCTGAATTACTAACAGACTGCGTTTCCCACGACGATTTGCCTTTTTACAAAATACGTGGAAATGGATAGAAACGTTTTTCGATATTACTTTTTTCAATGTTGCGTGTACCTCCAATATTCGCATAGAGATTTAAACGTAATAATAACTTTACTTAAAAATGAAGTATAAATAGAAGTTATTTTACGAACGAGTTTTTATATTCGTTATTCGTGAATAAAATTTTCCCATCTCTGATCGAAGCATTATACTTCCATTTTTGTTCCCAGTTTCGTTGATAAGGTTTCTAAAATTCAATAAACCGCATTCGCTATAGGATTCAAATTTCATAGTAAAAGTATTGTAGTAATGATTTGTGTTGAAATCTAAATTTTGTGGCCGTTTTAGAATCTTTGTACTCGTTGGAGGAAAATAAAGTTACAAATTTAATTGTTATATACTAGTTTAATTGGTCATCTATTATTCGAACGAAGTGTTCCCATATTAAACAACCTGGGGCAAACGAAACACGAGAATTAAAAAAATGAGATCGCCGTAACGTAAACAATACGGATTTACAACGCAAAGAATTGCACAAATTTATGAAGTGATCCGTCACGCGTGCAATATTCAAATCAGCCATAGCGGCATGGGGGATGTACCAGCCGTAACATGTCGCAAAATCGCATTTGGTTTACGACAAGGGAACCTCGAGAAAACGTTATTTCAATACCACGTAAGCCAAGACAAAGCTTTGCTTTTATACTTCATCTCCTAACCTTATATATCTACGATGCGATCTATCGCGACGCATTGAATGCAAATAAGTCGACGGGCGGAGAAAGAGGAGAACAGTAACCATGATAAATATGAAATTTCTAGCAGCGTAATGGAAGACAGGGACGAATCATATTGGCTTCCCAGTAGGAGAATCTACGATTGGAATTCGAGTTTTTCGATATTAAATAATAAAATTTGTATTCTGTGACGACTCCGCGCTGGGCTACTCGCGTTCGTGCACAATATCGAGCTAGAAACGCAAATATTATTGCAATCGTGTTTTCTATATTCATATCGTTCGATATATGGGGTAAATCGCACAAATTGTCCATCCTTGATTGCTTTCGTTGTCAGAGAAACAACAATTTCAATATTTTTTTTATTATTAATAATTTACAACGAATTCTGAAAGTTCTCTCTCGGTTAAATTTCGTTAACGTTTTTCCTAGATAATTCTAAAAATAAAATAAGTACACGTGCGCGCAAGAGGAGAGATGCAGCGAAAACGCTGTTAACCTAATTTCAATTTGCATATGATATCTTAAGAGTTCCATACATCGTTGACCTATCTATGAAAAATAATCAGCGATTTACGGAGTATACAACGTTAATGCTGATCGGGAATTCACGTTCAATTTATTCGTCGATAACGAGCGCGTTTAGCGAAAACAATGACCTACTGAATTATACAGACTTTATTACCCCAATATTAGAATACATTCAATTAATTTCATAACTGTATGTTCTCGGCGAACAAAGAAACAGGAAACAAAGTCTACGTAACCTGATCTCTGACAATATCGACGAAAAGGTTTTTTCCTGGATCATAAAGAACGAGGAGAGGGTCCTACAAGAAGATTCCGTACAAATTGATCTCTTTTCTTTTTCTCGCCCTATCTTCCCATGTTTCTGTCTTCTTTTGCCTCCCCCCTTCTGTTCCTTCTTTCAAAGCGACGTTCACTCTATGCAGTCGCCGGCAATCGTATTAGCAGAAGACTGATCGAATGGGAATAGTCGCAGAATCTGAGGATAGTAAGGAAGACGGATGCGAATGGAATGGGATAGGATTGGCCAGAACAAGGGGCGCCTCGGAGCAGCTCGAAACCAGAGAAAGGGCTGGTAAAAGAGAGAGAGGAATAAAGCGAGGCAAACGGTCATAGATCGAGAACGGGGAGAAAGGGAGAGTAAACACTCACCTTGGTTGCTTTTTCTGGATCGCTTCTTGCGCAGCTCCTTCGGATCCGCAGCCAATCCTAATTCCAAAAGCTTCTCCTTGATCTTTGGCTTCGACCGCTTTATTGTGAGCCCATTGAAGATCAGGTCAACAGGATCTGTTGTATACAACATAAATCGTATCGGCATTAATTCGACGTACAGCGGGACGAAACGTTGATTCAATGCGATCGGGAGTTTTCGCGGAGCGAGTAAAAGGAAGAGAATTAAATCTGAAGGGTGGAATTTAATTTTCTGATAAGGGAATTGAAAATCTTGTAATATAAGTTTATCATTGTTGTGGGATAGAGTAATAGTATTAGATTGTTAAATCCATACCTTCTGGTTATTTAACCCTTCGGATATGGTGGTAGCGTTTAACGTTTTTCAGAAAACAAAAATTTATGTTTCAATATAATGTCGTAATTTCATATTTTCTTATATAAATTTATATTTTTAAATATAGGGTGAGTGAAAACTCGTAGTACAACCAAGTAGAGAGGAATTCTACTCACTCTAGGAATATCACGTTTCAAAATAATCTTGAAACTCTTGCAAAGAAAGTTCAACCAACATGGTAAGTTTCTTTTGTGAGGCTTGTTAAATACAGCTAGAGCGAATATAATTCCCCTCTTATAGTTATGGAAGACGGGATCATCGTACGAAAATGAAGCAAGTTTTACAAGACTTTTGAAAATCCTTCTATCAGAGGGGATATTATTCTTCGTTCGTCTTAACGGATTCCGAATTATTGCTATAGGTAGCAGCCAGCCGTTACCGATGCTCGGAGCTTAATTAAATCTCGAGAATCGTCGGGGGTGCTAATGAATTTTCGAGCGAACATTCATAAAATTCTTCAACTGTTTGAAGACACTGCCAGTTAGCTACGACGCACATTTTTTGCTAAATTATATTGTTTTACTGAGATGTTCATCGCTTATGAGAATTATTTTGCTAAAGTTATTCGGAAATTACCGTCGTCGTTTTTCAGTTGTTCCCAAAACTCCGTCAGCTGAGCGACTTCATTCTCGGACCATTCTTTCGGAAGCCTCTTCTGTATCTCGCTTCGGACAGCCTAGAACAATTTTAGTTGGGTTAATTACCAAATAATATTATCTTCTATAGAGTCCTCACTTATGACTTCCAACGTAAGACAATTTGAATTACAGACTAGAATTATATTTCATGCGGGATGTAGAGAATCTTTATTAATAGGGTACATAACACGTTTGTTTATTGTATGAGCAACCGTTATGGCGGTTCGTCCTAGTTTTGCTAGATAATGATTCCTCTCATTTTCATTAACATTTTATTCATAGTAGTCTGTTTTCAACTGAAAGACCTGGTTTTCAAAGGCAGGAGATATATAGCTTATCATGGTATGTCTAAAAAATTTCTGAACTTAAATTAAAGAAATACACCCCTTGAAACATCCCTAATTCTCAACTATTGAGACGGAAAAAAGAGCGGCGGTAGAAGCCTTTTGAGTGTCTGAAATCGCGACGAATTGCTTTCCTTTCAATTTGGGAAAGAAAATAGTCGGAGGGAGCGAAATTAGGCGAATACAGAGGGTGGCTAAACGTTAAGACGCCTTTTAAGGCCAATAACTCGCGCAAACTGATGGCTTAGGTTTCTGCTCCATCGTGATTTCTCGACAGCCACCAAAAAGGCACTGGATTAAAAGTATAGTTACCAGAAATATTGTTAGCAAATACTTTCTTTTAAATTTTGTAATTTAATATTATTGGAGTTAGAATCAAAGCCGTGGATTACTTATAGAAAATTCACTACTTTCTTAAATTAAAAAAATTCAAGAACGTTTTAACGTTTTGTAAGCAAAAATAAAAAAATTTTTTCATAAAACTCTGTTTTGTCGAACACATAGTCTAAGAGTTATTCAGGGTGGAAAAGTTACGCGATTTGCCCTGAATGTCTATATAGATTCGCGAACAATGCTAATTAGAATTTATGGTACAAACGCAAGGCTTGGAGAGCGTACAACGTCTAATTTCTGATTCTCATTCTATGTTTTCTCGAATGGAAATAAAGGAAAGAATATAAGACGCTCGTTTTCCAATGATTACGTTTCACCCTCGACGAGAATTCCACTCAGCTGTCCTAAATGGCTGTCGCGTAGCGTCGCGCGACTTCACGGACTAAATGAATGTCAAATGAACACCCTGGCGTAGTCTGCCCTCATTCAGTTTAGAGGGACGAAGGGTAGCCACGCATGAAATTATTTAAATGAAACGCTTCCGCGACTAAGCCTCGCTTTCGTGGATTTTGTCGACGAATCAATAATACGTTTCATCCCTTTCCCGTCTACTTTGCTCTTACTCTGGTTCTTGCTGCTCATTTGCGTTAGTCGATGTTTGGTTCACTGTGAAATTATGCTACTGCCCTTTGTGACTCGACAGATTTTAGTTAAGCACAGTCAGATACGATTGGCTTGGAAAAGCAAATATAAACACAGCACGGAAACTTGTTTAATTGTGTAGTAAGCAATAGTTATATTTATTTAACAATATTAAAGTATGCAAATAGTTCACGATTAATCATTTGGTATGCTAATAATATGTATACATTTTAATAATAATATTGTTACCAATATTTGTTGACAATGTAACAGTATTACGTAATACAATGTTATTTAACTGTATTTTCATCTGTTTAAAGTGTATTCATTATATTTTAGAATTTTCCACGAGCAGTTTTTGTTTCAATTTTATTATTCCTAAAATAAATAAAAACTAAATATATAAAATTGTATTTCAATATCACATCCCAGTATAAATACAATTTTATTGCTTTGAGTACATTACATATCTTAATTTTGTCGAGAGAATATAACGAATTCAAGGCTTGGTTAATATTTATCATCAAAATATAACATCAAAGTTAAATTAAACACTTTTATATTTATATTTCAAGATCAAATACAACATTTTCTGGGATTAATTCGGCGCAAAGTAAACTTTGGGGAGACTTTCGACAGGAATTTGTCAGGGAATCAATAATACCTACAGCAATTTAACTGGCTTTTGCTGGGGTGATGCTTCAGTCAGTCTCTTCACTGCTAATATTTGTGTATTCAAGAAATGTACAAGGTAACTAATTATAAAAACAATAGAAAACTCAAAGAAATCAGTTGACAATCTCTTCCACTCTAAAAGTTAAACATTATAATAAATTGTAGAATAGTATTATTACTCAATTTTTCACATTGTTGAATCACCCATTCAAGAATCAATTATTTCAAAGGATAAGGGGATAATTTAATTTCATAAATAAATAAAATATTTACTATCACTGTAAAATTGTTGTGTTTAAAACACAGAAAAATATAATCGAACAAATAGACTTTTGATTCGCGAATCTATGCAAATAACGCTGTAAAAAGGTTAGAAAATAAATTGATTAAATTGAAATCATCGTCGGTAATCGTTCAATGGCAGAAGCGGTTCGTTGCTTCGGAACGCGATAAAATAGATCAAAGGAAGAACGAAAATATAAAACGATCGGACGTAATCGAAATTCAGCACAAAGTTTGATTGCTCTATGAAAACAAGTAATTAGGATAGTTAGTCTTCGACGTTTCCACTTTTCGTCAGGCTACACATCACACTTGGAGGAAATTCGCTCACGAAATTCCCAAAGGGTAACTGCACAGAGATCCGAGCGTAAGAATCCGTCAAGGAATCAATAACAGCCTGAACAGCCGAGTTCGCCCCTATTCGAATCAGTGGTATGGGAGCAATCAGCTCCCTTTCCTGGCGGCGCAGCGGGTGCACACCTATGATTAATCGTCAATTTCGAAGTGGGGTAATACCGTTTTAACGGTAGTCAGATATATCGTCGCCTTACCCCCGTCCATCGCTCTTACTTTCCCTCTATTTCTCTTTGGCGCACGTGCTCCCACGTTCCTCCGTCGCCTTAAAACAGGTAATGTCTCAAGATTATCGTTATAAAGTGTCTCGCCTCGATGTTGTCCGATGGGTTTTCAACAAACAGAAGGATGACACCGGTGGTATCGAGCTAAATTGCGTACGTTCCCTACGAAACAGTCATGAATCTGTCTTTTAGTGTCTGGGGGAAAATTCTATTTCAAACAGTACACAGTTTATTTTATTTTAGATTGTGCGTGAAATTATGAAAATATTTTATTCGTAGCAACATGTTTTTAAAATAGTATTTTGTTCGAAGAATACTGAAAATAGTGGGTCTTCATTTTTATTTGACTTCAAGTTTAAAAACTCGACATACGATTCTGTAGCTGTTAGTTTTACAAAAACTTATTAGATTGCTGGAAACGTTATAATGTTATTCACCACCGAAGTTATTTTTATACATCCTTTATATCGGGCCGAAATTTTTTATCTTCGTGGAATACAAAACATTGCATGACGTAAAAGCTTTCAGTACAATATTCACGGAAACGTTAAAAATACGAATTTATTAAATTATATTAAACTCGTTGAATTTACGCGTCAGATTGTAGACGATTCTATTTAGGATATTATGAAGCTAAAATATATTTCGAAGGAAAAATGTATCGCCGTTTAAAATGTCCAAATATACCTATGCATAATTCGCCACAAAGCTTTCTGTGAAAGCGTATACGTGGAATATAGTAGTTTAATTTTCAACCCAGGTAAAGAGCCAGGATTGTGTCATACATTACGTAACTTCTTATTAATATAAATGCGTTGGCTTGCCATCCTCTGAAGTTGATTTCAAAACATGAAAATATAAAAGAAATTATGAAAATAGGAAAAGCTTATTACATCGTACGTGTCTCATAAATTAACAAAGTTTCAGAGTGACAAAAATTATATTTCCTACGATATAAATCACATTAAATTATTAGTGCCTCGCCCATATCATTTTTAATTTTAAGTTTTTCTCTACTGTGATGAAAATCATTGCATTCAAGTATAATACGTTTCAAAACAAAATTCGTTGTATCTCCGGAACTAATTACGCTATCGACTTGAAACAAGTTTCCTTTTAAAGGGCGTATCATCTACTATCCGATGAATATACCAACTATTATAATTTATGCTATCTTTTGTGTTTATTTTGAAATCTACTTTGACGCTATATACCCAAAGAAGTTTTTGCAATTTTATTCATATAGGCGTTAATTGCTTTCGTGAAAAGGAACATTCTCATCTATGCTCGGTTCTTCTTCAGATTCATTATGCATTTAATATAAATAATAAACAATTATTATTGCTAAATTCAGTAATATGAATATTGATCGTGACCTTGGCATTATTTAAATATTTTAATTAAAAATTATTTTCCTTTATTTCGTGTTTCATGTATTTAAAAAACAACGACTCGGCTAATTCAATCAATAATAATCCCGCCATTAATAATTCTGCCAAAGGGATACATTATTTTGCGACATTATTCATGAACAAAAGTTGTCATTAAGTTACGTAGCGTTTTAATATATTGGTTAAATAAATTACAACCGTCTCTTAATGCTTCAATGTTTCATTCGATTAATCACTAATGCGTTTAAAAGTCCGTTACGTGTAAATGTTACGTGCATGCAAATGGGTGATTTCATTTCCAGCGTACATTTTCATGTAAATTTTCTTCGAAGTTTCACTGTCACATTCCCACTTTTTTCAAGCCCGGGAAATTCTGGTTTTCGGGCTATGTAATACATAATACATGAAACGGCAGTCACTTGTTTCAAAAGGTTTTGTTTAAAATCGTATTGTACCTAGTCTGAAAAGTTGTCACATAAAGGATTATTCAAAAGCTAGTCGGACACGCGAAAAGAAGGAAACAAGTATGCTACAGCAAAACTCGTTGGAATCTCGATTATTATGCGCTGGCCTGTTAATTCTCTGTTAACCTATTCTCGTCCTAATAATTTATTCTATGCTCATTGTCGTAGCAGTCGAAATGAGCCGTTGTCTTGTCAATTGTTCTCCATCCACAATAGACGTATTGAAATAATATAAAAACGAAACAAATATAATCGCATTCTTTGGTGTATATTATTTTTAGTTGCAGCTTATTACTATTTTTACAAATTTATGTAAATTCTTTGTTCCCATTTGACAATACATACATGCCAAATAATATAATCGTATTATCTTAGATTATATTAAATAAGAAAAATAATCTAAATACTCTAAAATAATAAGAGGGCTCACTGTACTGGAATCCAATGTAAAAATTATCGCTCGAAAATAGAAATTACTGCATATCTTATTCATTATAATTTTTTATTGCGAGTACTCAAGCATTTCCACGAGCCGCTACATTTCTAGGCTGTCCATTCACGTGAGTGATTCGGCTTTGCAAGTGGTTCAATGCACCAGAGATTTTCAATAGTGAAAAATGGTCGAGATTATTCGCCGTTGTGTTCGTTTCCGCGATTTTGCGGCGCTTTTTCTTTGCGAGCTTTAGAAACGAGAATGTTAAACTCACGCGGCGCGTGCCTCTCCTTACTTTCGCGCTCGATACAAATGTTTATACGTATTTCTCCGGCAAAAGGCAAACAAAACGATAGCTTCTCGTGGCTTGGGAAAGGGTGCAACGTAGCAAGGGAAACAACCTGCTTGAACAAATAAAAGACGGTGGAAACTCGCGAACGGAAATTTTAATATTACTGCTACAATTCGAAGTGAACGCAGAAGACAAATATATCGCCGCGTCTGTTAAAAGTAGCAATAAGCTGCAACTCACTGTTAAAGAATTGTACGATTAAAATTGTTCAGAATAAGTGAGATTTAAATACTAGATAACCCATTTAAATCGAATGTCTTCGAAACTGCTGGTGATATTGAAAAATGTTACACGACAAAAGTATTTTGTAAATGTGTTAATTGGTTGAGCCTGCCATTTTTTGCTCGAAAGTACAAAGCCCCTTCTTGAAAAACCATTAATTTAGAAGATATTTTAATTTGAATATTGGGTTGTATTATAAATTCTATTTAAATTGCATGATATATTAACATGTTGTGCTCGTATGGCAAGAAGTCAAATTAATGGCCCCGACGGGATCAGGAGTGATTCGACCTCACGGAAGAACATAATGTCGAAAAGGGGAACAATGGAGGAAGAAACAGAAACACGCAATCTAAGAAACCCGACAAAACTATGGAAGCTGACACGTTGTCCAAACGTTGGAAGAGCAGCGATATAAAGAGATAAAGGATTCGGGACCAAGAAATAAAACGGGCAAAAAGAGAAAAGGAAAATAATAGTATATCGTCGCAGACGCAACATCCACAGGGAACCGGAATTTGAAGTTATCGTTATCACTAAAGGGAGAGTATTATAGCGATCTCCGTGATGAACTATGAAACGACCACCAAGGGGGATAAGAGTCAAGATAAGACTGCTGTTTCGTCCAAGTTATCAATCAACAGTCGAGTGGAAGCGTATTGTGATGGACGAGGGGTAGTCGAAGCTTGGTGACTTTCCTATATTTTCTATATATCTATAGAAATATTATTCTGTCTATAGGCAGAAATCTATATTTTTAAAAATAAAAATTAGATAATTCTACAAAATTTTAAAAATGACAAGAGTAGAGTTACAGGAACAGATACCAAAGTGTACATCCATGTTCTGAGACATATTATAAAAAGAAACTATATTATTTAATTCAGTGAAGCTTTTAGTACAAAATTATAATTTATTTTATGCAGGCAAATAAAAGGCCTAATTGTTGTATGTAATCAGCACTGTCGAAGAGATGCATAGTCTCCACCGGTGCAGAAGACCATGCTGAGCTAACAAGGGCCCTCGATGCACAGATGCGGCGCTCGGAAGCGTTAATTAAGGATTTTTTAGGTCTCTTGGCGTGTGCTATAGGCCACTGAGGTCTTAGACTCTTTTTTTAACACCCTGTATGCAAAGATTCATGCAAAGACGCGCGCCCGTCTATTTATGTGTCTAGCTTCCACTCCAAAATCCTCATACGCCCTTTTGAAAGGAAAACGCAAACAAAGCGATAGCTTTTCATGGCACGGAGAGGCGCCGGAAGGGAACACTTGACAGGAGAAAATCTTGAGATACTTTCATTCCCGAACATAGGAGCAGCAAAGGGAGAACTCTTGCTGGCACAGCGGAAGTTGTGATCCACGCAGGGGCAGAGAAACCTCCTCCTCGAACAGTAGGTTGAAAGGAAATGGAGGGTACAGAAAGCGCCTCGTAGAAATTGTCTCCCGAGAATTTACAGTTCCTGCAGCAATTCCCTGGCTCTATTTTTTGCATATGTTCACCCCGTCAGCGATGCCAGTCCAGAAACTTATTTTCGGGGTCGCGACACCCTTCGTCTTCTCGCGCTCCTTGTAAATCATTGATCTTGTCAGGATTTTGTCGGCAGCGGGTCGAATTCAGTGGATCGAATTGTTTAGTCGAACGCGATTTTGGAAGCGCGTGTGTCGTAGATCAAGTTACTAACAAGTCACTTCATGATCTTTCTTTACGTAGACGATCATTTTTTATATTTCGTTCGAGTATATTTTGACCGTGTTGGTCATACAAAGGGATTATTTCACTTTACAGACTCTTCCCTTAATTTATTTAGTAAGTCATTCCGAAGTTATACAAGTAAAATTCATTTCATTTCACTTTCGATACCGCGAATTTAGGGAACAAAGTTCAGGAGATAGACGACAATTTTGTTGTCAACCCGAAGAATTATACGGTTTTGGGGTGTGTCACTCTTGTAAACTCCATAGATCATGGGGAAAATAATCTTTGCGAAATATAGTATGCGTTTCCCGCAGTCGACAATTTTTGCAAACTGTGCAACTTTCACCCTTTTGTCGATATAATTCAAATAAATATGCGACAGTCGGTCCCCGATATATGACAGATATAAAAATGGGATCGAAGATTCCATTAGTTTTCGCGATATCAATGAAGAAGTAGAAAACGCGTCGTATTTAATATGTTGAATACCACGTCAGTGTACTAATTGTAAGTATATGTATCCTCGATATTTTTTAAAATTGTAATGTAAAATTCACATACATTGAATAGTGTAATGGTCTATTTTTGAGATTTCCTAATTATACGGTTATTTAAACGTTTACAGTTACCAGAATCTATAGAAATTAAAAAAAAAACAAAAGAAAAACACTTACTTTGGAGTTAACGATCAAAAACAGCTCTTTCAGCTTCTTTGTAATGCCGCGTCTCGTTCGTTCTTGATTAATATTTTCCAACAGCCATTCGATAAGATCTAAACCAACAAAATGATCAATAAAGTCTTTTTTTAATAACTTTTTTTAATAATGAACTATTTATTATTTATTATTTCCTGTACTCAAGGTCGTTTGAAGGTTATATTGATTATCGTATAAAAAAAAGTATATAGTTCTATTTTTAAAAATAGTAACTTCACTATTATTATAATAAATAAAGTTTAATTATAAATACAGTAAAATACGTTGTTGATCGATATAAAATATTACGGATAAATGTTAAAATTAGCATCAAATACATAATTTATTTTTCATTTGCTTAAATTTCTTGTCTCAATTACTATGCATGGAGTTTGAATGAGTGTTGATTCAACGTTGTGAGTATTTGTGCTATTTATATTCAATCAATATTATCCGTGAACTGATTTGAAGGGGAGGATAACCGGATCATCGCTGAGGTACGTGATTCGGTTAGCCGATAAATGAAGACGTTGTTATCAGAAATCTAATATTATCGGCAATTCTCGCCAGCATCTAACAACTTTGATGTCAAGAATCTCTTGGGCGAAAATAAGATTTTGCCTAAGACAATAACTCGGCTTTCACAAGATCTCAGCATTAAAAGTAATTATATCTTTGTTGTAATCTTTCGTGTCTGCTAAGAAAACGAAAAATTGTAAAAGTAGATCAATCCAATTTATTTGGCTAATTCTATTGTATTTTAACAGTGCACAAAATAATGGAAATGAAATTACAGGAACAGGGAATCATTTTTGACAATAAATCGTAACACATATTCCAGTAGTATACATATAAATAGTTGCTGTGAATATAAGAAGTAGTGGGCGTTCTGTTATTATTTTTTACGCTTCTTGATATACTTTTAACGAATCTGAAATTGTGTTCTTAGTTTATTTATTATGTGATATAAGTACTGCATTTCGTTATAAAGTTCATAGAATTTTTTACGAAAAGTTCTCATTGAATTTGACGTTATATTTAATTTCGCAAATATTTCTTTTCGCTCGTGTAAAGATTGAAAGATAGTCGAGAAAGTTTTATCTGCTTTTGCTTATTTTCGTGGCTGGAGTATAGGGTTCCTCGGTATAGTGTTAACGAGATTATGTATAGGTGTAGCGTTGCAGGGTTAAAGAAGACTCATAAATCATGGGGTTTCGCGAAAATGCGGGCAACGTACCTTGGGAATAGTTGTTAGTCTGATGTTCCATAAAGAGCGTGCGTAACTCGTCTTCTTGGGCCTCGGTCCAGAGGGTGCGCGAAACTTTCTTGTTAGCCGTTTCCGCGTTGTAACCGCTGACGACCTCAGTCGCGTCGCGAGTGGTCTTCCAGAAGAGCAGCTCCATGTACGCTTTCCGGTTCTTTTCCGCGACTTCGATGAAACGACGGATTATGAAGACTGCGGACTTTTGAAGTTCCTGCAAGGGAAACTCGGGAATTTTATGGGCGTAAGGGAAGTGCACTTCAAGTGGCCATTAAACAGAATGCAAAAATGTAATGGAAATTCGGTGATAAAACACACGATCCAATACGAAAAATAGGATTCACGGAACGCGTCGCACCGAGGTAGCAGAGTTAGCGAAATAATATGGAAATTTCAGTACATAGTATTAAAGCACAGAGTGCTGTCATTATAAATTTAAAGAAATACACATACGATTTCATAAACACTCGACTGTTTAATCTGTTTATGAACATCGTAAATCGGCAGAACATTTATGCATCGGTGAATATGCATATCAAATGTAAACATTCTGCATAATTGACTTTCACTTTATTAGGGTATACATTTCCTAATTGACATTGCATTATTATGAAAATTTTATGTTTTATTTACGTAGAAATACGTGTAAAAATATAAGAGCAGATGATATTAATTTCGAACATATATCCTCTACAATAATTTCTTCATAATAGTGGTAACATTTTCATTGTAATCGATAATAATATAATAAAATTTTCAATATTTTTGGAAATATAATTCTATGCTAAAAGGTAACACGGAAATTAATTTATTAGAAAGGATGGAGGCGCAAGGAAAATAATAAATGAATTATTATTACTGACAAGGTTTTACGAGTGAACAGTTAATGATGATTTAATTCCAAATTACCTTGTGTTCGGGACATTTTGACTCGAGGATTCGTTGAAAAACTCGAAAAATCGATGCCTGGAACATCATTCCAGGCATTTTGCACTCCCACGCGATTCGATGAATCATCTTGTTAACGTAATGATTCACTTCGTCCGTATTTTTATCGAATTGTTGTAATAGAAGCAGCAAAGCTTTGACAACTTTCACATTGGCAAATCTTAAATGGAACACGAAAGTCAAGGATTAGGAACATGACACTTGCCTTAAGTTAAGTATGTAAATCGTGTTTTTATTCTTACCTGTGGATAAAGTCGGAATACTTAAAATCGGTTTCCACGACAGTGCTCCTTTGTGCAGCTTCTTCTTCCTCCTCTTCCTCGTCCTCTTCTATAGCAATATTAATTACGCGATGTATTTTAAGAAATTTTCTTAGAAAGGAAGTGCTATAAGATATCGATATTGAATATTTTACCATCATTAACGAACTGCTCGACATTTTCTTCCTGGTTCGTTTCGCTTAATGGAATAGGATCATCTTCAACTGTAACAAACAAAACACGATTTGTTAAAATTTCATGAATGTTGAAATAAGTACAATCTTGAAACGTAAAATCATAATAGTGTTTGTCCGAAAATTTTTTTGAAGAAAATATAAGTTTATCGAAATAAAGCATACTTTAGAAGTATAGAAATTAGGGTATACTTTTTTCAAGAATCATGTCAGTTTGTATTTTGATAAAATTAGTTAACAATATTTTGCAGGTAGTTTATTTTTTATAAAATTAATTTCATTGAATTCCGTTTGTCTAAAAGGTTAATGATCCTTAACAATTTTTTATTATTATTCTTATCAGTCAATATTTTATACATAATGAAGTCTGTGGCTGCCCAGGTATAAGGGGAGGGGGATCAGACCTGTGCGTTTTTATATTCTTGTGCTTACTGGAATTTTAGGATTATGGGTTGCATAATTAATATTTAGTCTTTATTGCAAGCGCGAAGATATATCTTAGAGATTGATTTCTAAACTGTACGATTCACCCGCTGAAGAAAGGCGAGAGTGAAGAACAGTTCGCCCTGGCAACGAACTCTTTTCTTTGTATAATAAACACCATGAGTTAGTAAAACTCAAAACAGGAAAGACATTCTAGACATATACATCGTTACTGGAGATGATTTTCGTATCATCACGAGATGGTTAGAAAATTCAACAGTGCTTAAAAAGCTATTAAAAGGTACTAAAAGGATGGCGTGCCTCATAAGTCCGTAGTTCCTTGCAAAAACGTGTCAACAACGCACCCGGGCTGTTGAAATCGCGCGTTCTTTGTGTTTACGAACAAACACAAAAATCGCCGCAAACAAACGAAAGCTTCGTTTCAATACAAAACGAATTCGATAGAACGCAAGCATTCCATTGAATCCGGTTAGAGGTGAATCAATGGTAGCCCGGCTATCGCTTTTGGGCACGACCGAGCTCCGACAAATTGTACGTCGGAGGTCGGGCTCCGGAAGTGCTGATCCCCGAATCGTTCGTTAAAATCCGCAGCCGAAAAAGCGGGCCGCGGGTAAAAAGTTCGCGGTTGGATTAATTTACGACGGCCAGTGCGTTATTCCGAAAACGGTGCCGGCTGCGTCATCGGAACGAGTGTGCAGAAATACACCACACGTATACGCGGCCGAACGTAGGGGAATCCGATCGAATTCGATTCCGTAGGTTTCAAGTTACGCTGTTTTTTCTCTGCCACGGCGAACAATCCGATGAGTGAATTAAGCGGCCGTGGAAAGACGATTACATTTACGACGAGCCCGGCACGAGGAGAGCACGGAGTACCGACAGCCCAGGGAAAAATTGCACTCGGCGAAACCGACGACCGGATCGGCACAAAGCCTCGTTACGCGGCAAATTTTCTAAGGCTTCGAGGAAACGTTATCCTTTTCCCTCGCTTTTTAAAAGCTGCACGCGACGTTTTTGCTCTGCCCTTCGTATAGGGCTGTTCCACGGTCCAAGTCGCGAATAAAGTTTCATTGTATCGTTACGTTCTTTCAGCGCTGCGCGATTCCGCGACCGTGGAATTGCACGAGAATCCCAATTGGCAAATAAGAATTCCGGTAACGTATAACACGGTGGCCAACGGAAAGTTCAAAATTGATTCGTAGCGCACGGATGTCGTAAAAAAGCTGAATTATACGATCAAAGTATGTTCCACTTTGAACGAATGAATCGAATGAAACGCAATTATTATAGCGAACGAAACGAAGAATTTAAACTTTCTGTGAAGTTCTAGTATGTAGGAGGATGCGTGATAAAATGTTGTAAGGACGAGCAATAACCACGAATAAAACACCAATATGATTACTGTATCTAATTACTTCTATTATTATTTCTTCTTGGCACGGCCGTCGTCAGGGAACTGAACTGTTCTCACCGTGCCCGTACATTCGTCCAAAGCGTTGCGCGAGGGCACGGGAGACAACACGTAAAAAGTAAACGGCAAAATTCAAACATCGCATGCCTACAAGTATGTTATATACTGATAATACTCCTTCTGGGTCAAGAAGAAAATTAGAAAAATTAGGCAAAGAAATAATGGAATGTTACGACGATATAACATACGATACAAGTTACTTTCTTTCATTTCTCTGGTGTTGCATGACAAATTAAATAACCATCGTATGTTTGTATGCCAGTTAAGGGAAGAATTCAGTGTTCAAATAATGAAACATTCTTCCAGTGAACTAGTAATAGATTGGAAACTAATAATAATTCCAAACTTACAAACATTAAGAAATTGAAACTGTATGAAGCAAAGTTTGTATTCCGTTATTAATTTAATCCTGATCGTATAATTGAGATTTTAACAATTTATGGGAGCATTAGAAAATAATTACGCAACATGCGAGGAGTGATTGAAAAACTCGTGGTTTATATATTTGCAATATAATTCCTTTTATATTTCCAACACCATGCCCTGTTTATAATTCAATGCATCTAAATCTGTGGAATGGCCTTTCGATGTATCTATCGGTTCTACGTTCGATGAAAATTTATATTTACTTAGCCACGAATGTTTTCAGTTTAAACAAGAGCCACAGGGAGCCATATCAGGCGAATATGGGGCGAGTGGTAGCAATTGAAAACCAATTTCATGAAGTTTGTCTGTCACAACTACAGACGTGTGCATTGTTGTAATGAAACAACAGAGTTTCGCATCGATCGGTTGCCAAACAAAAACCAGCTGACGGATCATTTCAGAAATTACACAATTTACGCAAAAACATTTTCTTTTTCACAACGAAAAAAAGAATTCTAATCCAAAGAGTTTGGTATAAAATCGACAATTTTAATGTTCAGACGTAATAACAGCATCGAAATGTAGTAACATAGAACTAACAGTGATTAGATATAATCATACAGTTTATTTGAAGTTATCGACACAGAAAATATTTAGAAATCAGAAGCTTACGCCCATTATGGCACACGGAGAAAAGTTAATATCTAAAAAAATAATAAAATTGGGGCGATGAAAAAAAATGTTTCAATTCGACGAAAAAATGAAAACATTTTTTTCCCAAAAAAATAGATGAGGGCTTTTAATTAAACAATCTCGACGTGTTGTAATAGACGCAATCTCCTAGTTTCTAAATATTTTGCGTTTTTGGCTTCGGATAAACCGTGTGGTTTAATCACTGACAATGTCACAGTAACGATTTTGCCGCAGCGTATATTTTGATGATGCATATACCAAAAATTGATTAATTCTACAGAAAATTAATTTTTTACATTCCTTAATATTATATTATATGTCAACTATAATAAGCAACAAATTGATTTACTTGCATTGTCTGTTTGAAAAAATTCGGTAAAAATACATTCATTTTTCGTTGATATTTTTTGTTGATATTAAAAATGTCTATTAAAAAATTTCGCGTTCCAGTTTTAGCACTTCAGTTATTTTATACATTGTAATATTGAACTAACTTTAATTAACTAAATTTCCCAATAATATAACACGGTATGGTCGTCACAGTATTAATACAAAAACCACGCTGATAAAAATGTGTCATTCTATTAAATTATAATTGAAATTTGCATTTGAGTTTGCCAATGTTGGCAAATATTCTATTACGATATAAGGAAATAATACAAAGCGCCGTTTGAATCTACGAAGCAAAATTTCACTTAGTGTAGTCGATTTTAAGCAGCATAATTATAATTTATACTAGACACCTTAAAACATCTTCTTCGCGCGTTTCATTTTGCCTGATGATGTGCGAGCTTTGGCACAGAAATTTCGTCCCGACGTCGAAATACCCCAGAACTAAACGCCCTTTAAAAGCAGCCGAGCGAAGTATTTTAAATCATCACATAAAGTTCTGTTTTAAACTGCTGTGTTGCTACGGCCAAAGAAAACTTTCCCCGCTGTCCGAGGAATCCAGTTTGCCCAAGTGACGTCGACGACGATGCTATTTCAACCGAAAGTTTTAATTGTTCCTTTCCGCGGTCTCTTGAACTTGCTACGGCCGTTCGAGGTAAAACAAAGCACTTCGAGAGATCTGACGTTTTCATCTCAAATTAAAAAATTTCCCCGTAACTGAAATACTTAGAATCAACCGAGAAATGTTTGATTAGTAATAGCAACTGTTCATTGAAAAAATAACCAGAATTCAGAAAGACAGTACGGTGTGTTTATCTTAGTTTTGGCTCCGCAAGTACAACGGTGGTTCAAATATAAACGAGACTTTTTTCCCAGTCAAACGAATTCTTTGGCAAACTAAAAAGTGGTTACTTCCACACAATTGCCCATTAATCCTTCTATTTCTATTTCGGGTCTGAAAATTTGTCTCCTAACGATTTCTTAATGGATGACAATTACATGATAATTTCTAAGAATGTCCCTTTTGTTCCTTTTTAAATATAAAAGGTAAACAAAAATTACAGAAAAACTGTATCAACAATGTCTTTCATTCTGAAATGATATAAAATTAGCTGGTGGAGGCATCAAGATTTCAAATTTCTTAATGATTTAAATAATTACATTTTGACCGCTCCATCGCGTTGCATACTTTCTACGCCATCGATTTAATCCGATTGTTCGGTAAACGAAAGCTCGCTCATTCCGCTGGCCAACTCGAGTTGTTTCCGGTCCTTTATGTTGCCAGATGCGGGATCGGTACTACGTTGCAAACGTCTTCGAGTCTCTCGCATCTGGCAAATGTCAATGTAAAAGAATAGCATTTTTGGAAAACGAAAGAAACGCGACACTCGAGTTGACCAGCGAAGGGCTATATTGTTCCGCGGGTGGTACGGTCGTCGAGGCCAAATGTAGGCACCGACGACAACGGCCATCGCCGACACGCGGAACAATATAGCCATAAAAACAGACGTAGACCAGACGCAACCCCTTGTTGTGTGGATAATCCGGAGTTCCGTTTCTTCCTCGATAAATTAACGCGGCCGTCGACTTGGGGAGGAAACCTCGGCCACCCTCGCCAGCGTGGCCTGGGACTTTCCTCCACCACCGAGGTGAAGGAGGAGCTTGC